TCATTAATGACATGCTGACCTTTGTGCTCCTTCCGATATTAAAACCTTATCCATCACCTTAAAACTAATACATAATATTCCAATATTGATCCCATTAGTTCTTGTTTAAACAATTAGAATTAAGTTAACTCTCATTGCAACAAATGATACCCAGTTATCCTCTTTCCCATCTTCATCTTCAAGTCTCTCTCACTAATTATCATAATAATTATTATTATAATTGTTGAACCCTAGTCTAGCAAAGTGCACATTCTCACTATTTTCCCACTACATAAATAAAGAACACACATCCAACTAAGCCCACTTATCTCTCGCCATTGGAACTTAAACCCTTATTGACCCTCCAATGTCAATCCACCTCATAGAGGAAAAAAGTTTCGTTTGACTCTCTTCTCTATCACACTTCTTTATAAGCAAAATTATCAGTGTACAACCCTTGAAAATCAGACCTTTTTTTTTTTTTTTTGTGAATTGGGTTTGGAAAATAATTTTGAGTTTGACATGTTTTATTGGCTAAAATTTGTAAAAAAAAAAAAAAAAAAATTACTAGATATTTGTCCAATTGCCGGCTTGTGGAAAAGGGGCTTGGTCACCCATTTCTCTTTTATTTATTTATTTGATTTGTACCAATTTGGACTATGATTTTGAGGATTAAACAATGCCTCAAGTAAAATCTCCCTCAGACATTATATCATGGCTTAAATCAGACCAGAAGACTTCATACCAGCAAAGACCAACAACAATTGGGGAGGAAGTCAATGTCTCCCACTAGTTATTTTCTTTGACCACAAAGGTAGATCAACACAAAGTTTAGTGGGTTGTTGGTGGTACAGAAATATTAGTTGAACAATAACGGTATATTATTAAACTAGCAATGCATTACATGTGAATAATTTTTGTATATAAAATATTAACAAAAATTTTTTAAGTACATGTATATCTAAATTAAATATCATCTCAAGTTTAAAAAAATTATATTTTTATCGCTCGTATTATATTATAAAATTTGAAAAAAATATTATGTTCCCAACGATTCTTTGTTTTAACTACAAAGAAAAAAATAATTTATAATTCATTTGATTGATTAGGTTTCAATTTATAATTTATTGCATAAAATAATAATAATTATCAATATTCTAATCAATGCTTATTTTTAAGGGTAATATAGTCAATTTAGAAGTTTCATAGATAATTAAAAGATATGTTAGAGATAATTTGGAGATTTAAATACATAAGGATATGATAATAATTAAAATATTTAACCATAGAAGGATAATGTGGTATTTAAAATTTTTTATAAGGATAAAATAGTGAATCAAAATTTTTTTTATGCTAAGATACATTTATTAGTAGTATATATATAGATATAGATAAAGACTAAAAAAATACAACAGAAAAAAATAAAAGGAGGACTTCAATGTTTTTGGAGTTATGTGCTATGTGTCCGGGTAAGCTCCATGTGTTGTGTGCCATCTTTGCGCAGGGATCATATTAATTTTTTTTGTATCATTTTAATTTTATCGTATGTCTCTAAAGGGACAATGTGTCCGGGTAAGCAACAAGCCCATAAATTGCCTTTTTAGTGACATGCTCTAACCCAACTCAAGTCACGGTGGCCAATTGCTGAGTTTAAGGAAGTAGTCGACGTAAATTTAAAAAAAAAACCATAAATTTATATTTTTCAGCCAATTCATTTTAATTATTAAACTGTTTACTTTGTTTGTCTGTTAATGAGTAGTTTAAGGGACTATTTTCTTTTAATATTACTAGTAATGCACCACGTGCGTTGCACGTAAATAATGTTTGTACACAAAAATCAATAAAACATATTAAGTATATGTATATCTGAATTAAATATCATCTGAAATTTACAAAACTTAATTTTTCATTGCTCATATTTTATTATAAGATTATAAAAACTTTCTATGTTCTCAAAATTCTCTATTCTAACTAAAAGAAAATAAATTTTTTTTTAAAAAAAGTTAAAATTCTATTTTTTTGTTTAGAATTTTGTAATTGAGATTGATTTTTTTAGTGATGTTTGAGAAATTAATTTTTTTAAGATTTCACTTATAATTTCTTAATTAAAATAAAAACAATTGTTAATATACTAATTATATTATAACCTTACTATAATTAGGAATTGATTAGGTGAATTGAGATAAATATTAATACACGACTCTAAAAAATCTAAAAATTTCAAGTTTTACAATATTAAAATTCTAAAAAATACAATTTCTACTTAAAAACACACTACAATATCTATTTTTACATAAAATCTAAATACAACTCAGAAAGTTTATTGTGACTAAATAATTATATTGATATAACATAAATTAATTTAAAAAAACTGTATATATGATAACTTTTAATATTGGAAATGAAAGGTTTAAACTTTTCAATGAAAAAGAAAATACACATACATAAGTATAATACTATCTCTGCATATGATATGAAATTGATGAAATTTTTGAAGATTTTATTGAAAATATAATGATACATATTTTTTGAAGGGTAATATAGTCAATCAATTTTTTTATAGAAACTAATATTTATACATAAAGAATAGATAATTAAAAGAGATGATATAGATAATTTAGAGATTTAAATATATAAGGATACGATGGAAATTTAGATATTTAATTGTCAAATGATAGAGTGGTCTTTATAATTATTTATAAGGATAAAATAGAAATTCAAAAAATTTTCATGTTAATGTACTTTTATTAATAGTATAGATGATAATCCATCATTTATAGCATTCCGTATGTATGGACTGTTTTATTTTGGTCTCGGGGTTGTTTTATAAAAATAAATTTTCTTTGTTAAGGAACGCGTTTTAAATCCTAAATATTAAATCTATGCTCCCTACTCCCAAATTTATTTTGCTTTACCCAAAAAAAAAAAATATATATATATATATTGATATTGCTTTGATGTCACTAATTTTCCAATTTTAGGTTGGTTGCATCCCAAAATTTTTGTATATGAATATGATGCTGCACAAAATGTATTTATGTATCACCAGTCAAATATTTAATGTAGTAATTAAGAATGAGACTCAAAACAAGCAAACAAGAATTAAGTGATTCGGTCAGGGCGACCTACTCCACTATAAAAGCTTACAGTGGCTTGAGAACTCATTTGATTGTTGTATTAAAAATGAATGGATTTAATAAAGTAATACATTTAGAACAATATAGATTGATAAAATACAAAATTAAATAAGTTATTAGAATAAAATGTAATTTTATCTAATGTTTGGTAATGCATAACATAACGTTAGATAGTAGTTATTTAATTTATTCGGTTGTTTAGTTAGGATATTATTTTATGGTATTAATATTGAATTAACAAAAATACCTTGTAGGATTATAATAGTAAATGTGAATAATAATACATTTGAGATGAATTATAATACCACCTCTCATAGTGGTATTAAAATACCTTCATAATACAAGTCTATGATACTAAAAATATACTATAAGTATACAATTAGTATACGTTTTTGACATTAATATAGAATCAAATTTATGTGCCAAATAAGGCATTAGGCATGATTAAATAAAAAAAATATAATATAATATTTAATCCACTTATAAGATATCTATCAAATGAGCCATGAATATTTTATTTCTCAATGAGTGTAGAGTGTTCAGATGTGAGTGATGTTCCTATATGCAAGTGGGGCTTATAATTTATAGGAAAGTGAAATTGACTTTTAGGAGCTCTGATTGAGGTGTTATGCTCATAATAGGGGTGCCATTCTCATAACAGGAAGCGAAGTGATTTTGTGTGAAGTTTGCCTTATCCTCGTACTGGGTGAGGTGATAGCGGTGCAATTGCTTGAGATTCGTTTTATCTCGTAATGGACGAAGTGATTTCGCGAGACTAGTGACGTGCCTTCGCTAATTGTATTCCCATGGATTCTCTCTTCTCGGATAGAAATTTTCACGTATGTTGACGATGTGTTGGGTCTCTCAGAAAAATTGTCCCAACTAAAATTGTGATTAAGCCTTTATTAGTTTGCATCTGTGATCTGACCTTGTTCTAGACCAGGCCCATTAAAATAGATTTTGTGGAGTCTTTTGGGCAACATATTACATTATAAAAAAATATAGAGAATTACGTGGTTATTTGGGAAAAAATGATAGATAATATTTCATGAATAGTTATGATGAGTAAATTAACTAGCAATTCAGTTGCATTGACTACCCAAAAGCACTGTTAATCAATAATACTTGGGACTAGGATAAACTAGTTTCACAAGCAAGAAAATAGAGGGAGTTATGAATAATTATTTGAGAAAACGAAAAATTTATTATGGACATTTTACGAATAAACACCAAACTCCCTCATAATGCAAGACTAGAAAAGTTTGGTGTTAATTTGCTAACAAGTTCTTGCCTTAAAACAAATTTTTTCTTAAAAATTTCCCTTTCTTTTTTAACTTTTCCTCACCCATATTTGAGATCCAGATCGTTCTAACACTTTTTTTTATCCCTTTTTTCACTTGAGAATCAATTTTTTTTTTTAGTTTAATAGTCATAAATGTCTGGTTAAATTTATACGTATTTTAATTAATTATCTATCTAGTCTGGTTAGTCGGGACTAGGATATTCATGAGAGATTTCTCATAATCTAGCACAATGACTTACTAATATTTAAACTCAGAATATTTTAATTTACAAGTGAACGAAAAGACTTATATACAATGATAATATTAAAAAAAAAATAGAGAAAAATTGTGTCGAAAGAGATCACAGTCCCATTATCCGTTTCTTTCTAAACAAATGGATCCTACAAGATGGTCCAAGGTCATGGAAAAAGTTCAAACCCACGTGTCCAGTTTTTTAGTGGGTTTCTATCACCTTACAGTCCCTCAAGCCCAATCATCAGTTCAAAGGCTTTGTCTGCTTCACTAAGAACGAGTCTGCTTGTCGATGGCGATTTCGTCTATCAACAAACCCTAACAAATAGCCTTCGCCTCTCTCTCCAATATGGACTCCCTTAAGGCCACTTACAGAGACGAAGATGATGAAGATTCCTCCAACAACAACACTACCAGCACCACCAGCAATGGTCTCACTGAACCTATCCGACCCAGCACCACTATGACCACCGTTACCCCCACCACAATTACCACCCCAGATACCGAACCTGAACCTCTAAATGGCATCAAAGAAGAACCCATTGGCTACCCATCTTCTGAGGAAATCTACGAGGACAACCCACAAACTCAAGAACCCCAAGAAGGTTCAGAAAACCTCAAAGATTCGCCCAAATTCACCAAAGTCTCCGAAACCGAAGACGAGGAGGAAGACGAAGACGAAGACCCACCTCCCAAAAAGCAAAAACAACTCTCCTCGTTGACATCGCCGGTCACACCTAAACCAGAACGCCAAGAATCTCAAGAAACAGCGGCAGTTCCTATACCAACAACACAACCCACAACAGCAATGCCAAAACCGTCCGTTGCTTCAAGCAAGAAATCGAAGAAGAAGGGCAACAATGTGTGGACGAAATCCACATCAAGAAAAGGTAAAAAGAAAATCAAGTGCAATAACCATAACAACCAAACAGAGGATACAGTTTTGATCACTCCAATTCCGAGGTTTCCTGATAAGAATGATGATAGCCCGGATATGGAAATCTGTCTTTCGAAGGTTTACAAGGCTGAAAAGGTTGAATTGAGCGAGGATAGATTGAGTGCTGGGAGTACAAAAGGGTACAGAATGGTAAGGGCCACAAGGGGGGTAATGGAGGGGACATGGTATTTTGAGATTAAGGTGGTGCAACTAGGTGAGACAGGGCATACCAGACTCGGGTGGTCAACAGAGAAAGGGGACTTACAGGCGCCTGTTGGGTATGATGGGAATAGTTTTGGGTATAGGGACATTGATGGGACTAAGATACATAAGGCTTTGAGGGAGAAGTATGGTGAGGAAGGGTATAAAGAAGGTGATGTTATTGGGTTTTACATCAATTTGCCAGAGGGGAATTCGTATGCGCCAAAGCCACCCCATTTGGTTTGGTATAAGGGACAAAGGTATGTGTGTGCACCAGATTCAAAAGAAGATCCTCCAAAAGTAGTGCCTGGTGAGTGATTATGAATTTTCAGTATGTGGGTCTTACTAAATAAGTTATTATATTGGGATCGAGTAACTCATCTGTTTTCTTTGAATGCCACTTATTGCTTGAAATCTTGCTCATTTGCTGGTTTTGATATTCGGCTATTGTGAACTTCAATTTTTATGTGCTGTATATACTTTGATAGGTTTTCGTAGCTGTATATCTATAGTTCTGTTGGATTGCATAAGCATGCAATTAGACTCCCAAGCACAGAGTGTCCATATTGTCGAAGTTAGTTTCATGTATAACATTCAGAGTTCCTTGCTTTGTTGTCATTATCGTTTGTCCTGTTGTTTTTGTAATGTTTAATCAATGCATTTTGAATTGAAGTTTTTATCTGCAGCTATATTTTTTTGCTGTTCCTTAGGTCCAAGGTTCATTGTAGATTGACGTTATACTATTGTCTTCTATAACGTCACAATGTAGGGTGATATGGGGACACTTTAATGCTTTTCACCTTAAATTTATAATTCAATGGGTTTGTGATTGTTAAATTTCCTTGGGAAACCTTATTGATGGACCTAGACTATTACTTTGTGCAAGTGTCAAACACTTGCATTGTTGTGGATCTAATGCAAAATGTCTAAAATTACACTGCCAATAAACCTAAACCATAACTTTTTACTTCATTTATAATTTAGGTTGCTCTCAGCTCAAAGAATACAAGTGGGACATCTATGTGAGTATTTTATAAATGAAGAAGGTACAGATTTGTACAAGGAAATGATGTTAACTGCCAGCAGTGGTTCACAACAAAGGTACCCGGTGGTATGTGGGACAGACTTTTTGGGCGGGTAGAGCTCAGGTTGACAGTGTTCAGACTTCAGAGATTCCTTTGTCAAGTTTGTGGAGTGTAGAGTGAATGTTACTTTATTAATTCTTAGTCGGAAATGGAGGATAGGTACTTTTTGTCTATTGAGGAAAAAATGGAAAATTATTAAGATTTTTTTGGAGAAAATGGACCTTTCTTTGGTCTATAAGAAAAAGAAAGGCTCTTATCGAGACAAAACAAGAAAAAGAAAGCCAAGAAGAGGGGATAAGGAAGCAATGTTTGAAAGGATAGGGGAGCTTGTGAGCTTAGGAATCTACCATCGGTTAATTATGAGGGAAGGGGTTCTAGGAGGATAGAGGTGGGTGTAGATAGTTTGCAATGAAAATAATGAGTTGAAACATTAGGGGATTGTGGTCAAGGGAAAAAGGAAGTTTAATTAAAGAAATGGAAAATTTTAACTACACCTCTTGTAGTTTACCATATTTTCAAGGACACCCTTTTTATTATCTAAAATATCATTGACACCCCTTCTAGTTTATATTTAAATATCACTGATACTCCCTGCCATAGTTATCAAATCGTGTATCGGAAGACGTATCGTTTTTTAAAAATAGTATATCGTAAGATACGGTGTATTTTTAAATAATTAATAATAAAATATATGTTTACAAATTTTAGGGTGTCTAGATGTAATTTATTAACGGATATATTTACAATAGGGGTCTAAGTGTTACGTGTGTATAAATTTTAGGGAGTCTTTGTATAATATTTTAAATGTTAGGGGGTCTAAGTGATTAAGTAACAAATCTTAAGGGGTCTAAGTATAATTTTTCCTATAACATAACAGAGACTGACTGACTTCCTTCTTGCCTGATAAGAAAAGAAAAAAAAAGGACGAGAGACTGAGAGAGAGTGAAAGATCGCGATTGAAGAACACCCAATCGAACACTCGCTGAAGGTTGAAGAACACCCAGGACCAAAGTCGAAGACGAGCGAACACCCAGGACTAGGAGGAGTCACCGAAGGCTGAAGAACACCCAGACCAGAGTTGAAGACCAGCGATGGTAGTGAACACTCGGAGCCGAAGACCAGCCAACCAACGAAGAAGGTAAAGAGGGATTTTTTTTTTTTTTTGTAAACCCTAACCACTGAAACGGGATAAAAAAATCAGTCTCTTAGCACAAAAAAACATCATTTCATAAAAAAAAAAAAAAAGTCTTTGCACGTATCGTAAAAATGTATCGTGTATCGGACGATACAACGCAAAAACGATATAGAAGTACGATCCGTATCATTTTATTCTTGTATCATGACATATCGTACGATGCGTATCGCGTATTGTATGATACTAACAACTATGTTCCTTGCCGTTAAACCACAATTTCTAACAAAAAAATTTATCTAAAATACAAAAATTATCCCTACATAAATTTCAAACAATCTTTCTACATAAAATTCGATTAAAATTTAAGGCAGCTAAAATTTATTTTTTCTATATTAAATAAAATTTGAGCCGATTAAAATTCATCTTTTTACATATTAAAATTTGAGCTTAGTTGATTAAATTTTTTTTTTTTAAAGTATTAAAATTCGAGTCAATTTGAGCAAAACATGAGCTGTTAGTGTCGATTAAAATTTGATTCGAGTCGATTACAATTTATATTTTTTTACTTATTAAAATTTGTGCCAATTAAAGTTTGATTTTAGTTGATTAAACTTTGTTTTTTATGTATTACAATTTGAGTCGATTAGAATTTATATTTTTTTACGTATCAAAATTTGGGCCGATAAAATTCAATGCGAGTTTATTAAAATTTGATTTGAGCTGATTAAAAACAAATTTTAATCAACTTAAATCAAATTTTAATCGACTTGAATTTAATACATAAAAAAAATTCATAAAACAGAGGGAATCTCATTGAAGATATGACTATCTAGAGGGGGTGTGGATGAAGTTTTTTCTAAAATATGTCATGGGCGATTTGGTAAAATTGTATTTTAGTCAAAGTTTTTAATCTGATAGGGGGTGTCAATGAAGATTCAGAAAATAGTGGGGGGTGTCTTTGAAGATATGATAAACTAGAAGGTGTGTAGTTAAAATTTTTCCTTAAAGAAATGATTTTCAAAGAAAGTCCAAATGTGGTCATTTTTGCAAGAAACTAACGATCTGGAATTTATCCCTTGGACTATAAGAAGAGCCGACTCTCTTATACCATTACTCAGTTAGGTCATTTAGCGAGAGGGATATATATTTTTCATGAAGTTAAGTATGATATTTGTACTTTTGCCTTGATTTTGGCATTTGCATCCTTTCCCATGTTCAGATTCAACTGTTATTCTGCATTTGTAGCTAGAGTGTGGAAAGCTAAAATCTGTTGATACAACCATCTCTCTTACCCAGTGGGTATGGATGTAAAATGACGAACTGCTATATTCCATTGTATATAGATACACTCACGCACATACATATATCCACATATGCACATAATACACGTGTAACATATGATTGTTTGGTTCCTGCATTTAAAATATTTAGATACATGTTCCCCTCTGTTGGAGTTTGTTCTCCATGTAAGGAGCGTTGTAGAGTCGAGTATTGAAAATAGTAAAATCCCAAGATTTTCTTATAACACTGTAAAAACACAATCTTCAACAGAATAAATCTGAAATCAGTTGTGGCCATGGGATTTTATGTTGGAAAGCATTTAACATGCATCTTAGCTACCACACTGAAGATGTGGGTTTTTTTTTGCTCAAAGCGAGATTACAGTTCATTTTCCATACGTCCTGAGGTCTGTCAATGTTAAAAATGCTGCTCTTTTAGAGACTCTCTGTTTAGTGGTGGCTGATGTTTCACGGAATTTTTGTTGGAAGCAGGGTTTATTACTTTGCGTTTAAACTTGAAAATTCATTGACAAGTAATCGTGGCATTGGGAGATTTTTTGATCATGTTCTCTATGGAATATTGCTTCTGCTTGCAGGAAGTGAGATATCCTTCTTCAAAAATGGGATTTGTCAAGGTGTTGCTTTCAAGGATCTGTATGGTGGTCGTTATTATCCTGCAGCTTCCATGTATACTCTTCCCAATCAACCCAATTGTCTTGTCAAATTCAACTTTGGCCCTGATTTTGAATTTTTCCCGGAAGACTTCGGTGACCGGCCTGTCCCGAGACCCATGATAGAAGTTCCTTATCATGGCTTCGATGGCAGAATTGAGAATGGTGTGTCCAACGAGAAGAAACATTAGCTGTAAAGCAGATTATCACATATTTACATAATATATGCGGAATTGGGGGTTGACTGAACTTAATTTCTTCTGGAATTTTGATAATGCTTATGTGATGACTGACTACTGAACAGTCCGATTGTTTGTAATTGCTACTTCTCTATGGGAAAGTGGAAAATTAATTATTTTTTTTTCAGTGAGAAGATTGATTGTTTGACTGCTTTTTAGATCTAGAAAGTTGGTGCATTAGTTAAATGATATGATTTTCTTACAGATGATTAAAAGCTGTATGCTTCTCACATTCGTATCTTTTTGAGTTTTGGAGTATTTTTTCAATCAGCATGGTTCCTTTTGGAACTGACATTTATGTAGGCTTCTAAGCATAATTTCATGCTTCTGTCTTCTTTTCTCTGTCTTTTGCTGTTTAGGATTTATAGTTTGAGAGTAACCTGTGGTGCTTTTGCAGCTACATTTTGGGTTCTGTTGTATCTCATGTATCAATGAGGCAAAATTAATTTTTCTTGCCAATATTTGGGATTAGTAATCAGACATTTGTTTGTGTTTCATCTGTAGTTTTATGCATCCACAGAGTAGCAGCAACATTCCTTAGTTTCACAGTTATTGAATATTCTACTACCCATTCCTTTTCTCAAAAATCAGTGTGGTGTCTTCAATCTTTTTTCCCTTGCCTATGTATTGTTTTGTTTTGATAAGTAGTATTCTCTGTGCTTTAACCTTTGTATCTGTTACCTATTGTGCCTTTAGGATCTGTGTGGCTGCTTAAGAAGTGAAAAATGAACTTTTTGAAGTTTGAACAGCTGCACCCACCTTGGAACTCTAAATTCCTTAATCTTTTCCCCCTCCCTCCTACCCTTGTTTTTCCCCCCTAATTTACCTTTATTATGTGTGGTATAACTTATTCAAGAGGGAGAAAGACGGCTTTGTTGGCGGGGGAGGGGGGGTTTCCTATCTTGGTGGCTGATTTTATGTGATAGAAACATTGTTTCTGATGGCAGGTAATCCATGGCATTCGACCAGAATGTGGCCCATGCTGAAAGTGGTAAAAGAGCAAGATACTAAAACTGTGGAAGCTGCTGAAATAATGGGTTGAGATTAAGGAAAACACCCAGGTTTGCTATGTTTACCTTTGCGTGATGAAATCTGTAGAAAGGTACTTGGTTTTTGCATCCTCTGTCCTGCCTTCGTCTATTGGTATAAAATTCTCAGTGGGCGGAGTATAACTTTCTTAGTTAAATAGTTGCAGACTTTATATGCAAAAAATGCTGTACAGTACAAATCCATTGGGAACTTTTAAAGAAGTTCTATGTTAAATTGACTTCTAGGTTTATACTTGAGGAATGAGTTGAGATGAAAAATGCCTCAAGACAGATCAGATCCTCAAGTCACCATGGTCCTGTCGTCGTGGAGATTTGGTGTCATGCAACCAGTAGGACTGAATAAATTACATTTTTTTTATTAAATAAGGAAAAGCAAATTGTACTCAGAATATTGAAAATGGTTGCTGAGTGCACTAGGCTGCTGTCACCAGCGATATTTGGGGAGGGTCATAGGTACGCAACCTTACCCATGCAAAGATATTGTTTCCATGTCTTGAACCCGTGATGCACATGTCACAATGGAGCAACTTGTGCCACTACTTAGAAAGAAAATGCACAATGCAATTTACAAATGAGTGTGATGTGCATAAAAAGGCTAATGGAGAAATTACTTACCAGGCATCACTTTTCGACAATTCTCAAAACCCCCCTATTCATTAATGTTAAAGAGTGTTACTTTCCTATTGTTCTTCTTTCCTATTATGTGGTTTTCATATTATTTTCTACTTCCCAAATATTGTAATTGTTTTCAGTGTCAAGCTAATATAAATAAGTTAATAGGGTGTTGGCAATACTCACCCTACATGTAATATTGTTTCATAATCCCATCTTCTCATTATTTTCCTTAACTCTAATATATAATTATTCAAGTTTCCACTTGGTATTAGAGCAATACTTGGGTGAGTGGGGGTTGGCCTTAAGCAAATGCCTCACTCGCCTAGTGGTTGGGTCGGCCCATCACACATCAACTTCTAGTCGCCCGTGTTTGTTCATTGGTTGCGGTTATCATTATCAGTTATTGTGCCTGAATTAGCGTCTGTGTCTATGGTGTTTGATCATTGACACAATTTCTAGTGTTTCAATTCGGTTGTGTTGGTGTAGTGATTTCAGTACTTCGGTGTAGGTTTAGTTTCATCTCGCATAAGTTTGGATTCAATATTTCATTCCGGTTTAGTGTTGGTTCTGTGGTTTTCAACATAGTTTGGTGTTGGTTTAGTACTTTTCATTACGGTTTAGTACCGGCTCAACGTTTTCTGACTGGTTCAGTGCCAATTTTGGATTTTTCATCCCATTACAATTATTTTTGGCTAATTCAACTTCGATTCTGTCTAATTTATCCTGTTTTCGACTGTTGTTGTTTTACTTATTATTGTATGTGGTTTGTTATAGTCTGGGGCAGCGCATAGCCACTTGGCCTTTGTGGGGCCAACTGTCACTGCTCAATTTCTTTTTGCAACAAATTTTTTTATATAGATTTTAATATATTCAAAATTTGCCTCCACAAAAAAACTCACCCACGAAAATTTATTTAATCATTTTTCACATTTAGATTAAATTTTTTTACTCTCAATTAAGTGAACTTACGTAATGCACCCATGAAAATTTATTTAATCATTTTTCACATTTAGATTAAAATTTTTTACTCTCAATTAAGTGAACTTACATAATGTTTAGTTGGTTCAATCTCTCAACATATGTTTAAGAGATAATTCTGAAGTTCTTCGTTCTCTCTCCCTATAACTTTTCGCCTCTCTTTCACCATTGTTATTTTGGATGTATTGAATATTAAGACTATCATGCAACTTTTTTATGATATGAAAATTAGGTTTTGAGCAAATGTAAAGATAAAGCTGTTCCATTATAACCTAGGCGCCAACGATTCTAGTTGCGGAAATATCTTCTCACATACGGGGGTAAGACTATATATTTTTTGACCATCCCCAGAACTTGCAGTAGCAGTGTGCACTGGGTTACCTCTTAACTTTTTAATTTTACTATTTTTAAAAGAGAAATACTATTGAGATTTAATTTAGGGATCTAATTTGAGGATTTAATATAGTGCCATCATTAAATTAGTAGTGAGTCGTAGCATTGAATGCAATCTCTTTGCTTATTCAATGGTAACAATGCATTAAGTTTCTAAATTAATTCTACGAATTAAGTACATGTAGTATTTTTGTTACTAAAATTTGCCCACAACGGTGGTGTTGTGTTTCTCCTTTGTCATTGCCGTGTTCTTTTCCTCTCTGTGGTCATGATCATCATTTGTTATTGTTTATTTTGTTGTAGTCACTAATTGCTTCTTTAGAAAACCGAAGAGATGTCTTAGACTTCACATAGAACGACCAACTGAATTTGTTGCTCTGGGAGTGTATCGTGGTAGTGTGTGTTGATTAAAAAGATTATTGAATGGTCTGAAACAGTCTCACAAAAATTGATTTTATCATTCTTATTTTCTGCGTGGAGATATTGCGGTCAATTCAGTGATTTTCTCACCACACTAATGGCTCAGTCCATCTTTCGTAGTCTTTATTCTAAGTTGGACATTTTTTATCTCTATGCTCTAGCTTGAGAGGAAGTGTCTTGAGTGTTACTTTGTTATTGTTCTATTTTCCCGTTATGTTGCTTTCTTATTGATCTACTTTCCTACTATGTGATTTCCTAGTATTTTCTATTTTTCTAATATTGTAATTGTTTTCAATATTAATCTAATATAAATAAGTGATAGGATGTCGGCAATTCACACCATACACATTTTATTGTTTTATACTCTTTCTTTCTCTCTTCTTTTTCTCTCTCTTTTCGTTAACGCTAACATACAATTATTTAAGTTTAAGCTATTACTATTATCACCCTCAAGTGTATTCATCCAATAATTTTGGTCATCTTAATTTTAACTTCTTCGCTGTGCTTATTAGCAATTGATATCATTTGTCAAGTTCTTGAAAATCTAATAAATTCAAACTGTAGCAAAAAATTAGAAACTTTTTATGGTGAATGTTACTTCCAAACCTGTGATGCTAGATTAATGTTCTCTCTCTTGGGTTAGTACGGCGAAACCAGAAAAATAAAGAGTACTCACCCAAACACAGTTTTTTTTTTTTGACTCTGGCAATCACGAAACCATTGGGTTAGTTATGCTTATGTTATGGCATACTGGTGCTCTCATTGGAAAAACAGTTTCAAGTTTATTCCATATGATATTTGTCTTTCTCTGCTCATGTTGACCATTTTACGAAAAAATAATTGCCCCACAGTTTTTCTCTTGAGGAGCTGAAACGAGGTTCCACTCAAAAGTGATTCAGCACCATAGTAATGGACTGTGATCAGATGTTAGCTTCCTTGTTAGAGTGAAGACAAACTAGATCAAATTGTTCCGCATCAGCTGAACCAAGGTGCCCTAGGAGGGTCATCTGATCATTTTATTCTAAATTGATTTCTTTCTTAATAGTTACTTGTTTCGATTTATATGTATGCACAAATCATGAAATTTCATTTCTCATCCGGATTAAACCTTTCCTGGGTAATGTTAATATTTGGCCTTAGAAGGGAAATCTGGTCATTTTCTCTAAAATTGAGTTTCTTATGGCACCTGATACATTTCAACCCTGTATTTTTGAGCAAATTATGAAATCTCACTTCTGTGGAAAATTCGAGGTTTTGCTCCTAAAGGGCTATTCCAATCATTTCACTCCTAAATTTGCCTAATTTCACTTGGAAATTTACTCATTAAAGGGGTATTCCAATCATTTCATTCCTTAATTTGGTAATTTCACTTCGAAATGAATTTTTGTGCCTGAAAATAAATTAACCCCAAATATCTGTGACATAATGAATGAGACACCCGTATGGCTTGGGCTAAGATGTCGGATGGCGCAAATTAGTTTAGCAACTAGTTCTCTAATTTATTCGAGCATATTTCTTTATTCAGTTTTCCAGTTCAATAGTCTCGTTTAAGAGTGATTTGTTTGTGACCCGGCCTTATTATACTTTGCATAGTTAGTAATCAGAGTTCTTATTTCCTATTGTTAGTAGTGTAGAGTAA